CCCCTTTATTTTATTCTTTTAACTCCTTTCCTTTCTTTCAACAGTATTTGGTGGTTTTATTTATCACAATGATATATATGTAATGTACTTTAATCCTCTTTACTCCCTAGAACTCTTTCCTTTTGGCCCTTACTTTCCATTGATTTCCAGTCCAGATATTCTTCCTTTTACAGTAATGTCCCATTATTATTATTATTATTAATCATTGTCATCATTTTACATTTGGATTCTGCATATCAGTGAAAACATGATATTTGGTTTTTTGAGCTTAGCTTATTTCACTCACCATAATGATCTCCAGTCTCATCCATTTTCCTGCAAACAACATGATTTTATTCTTCTTTGTGGATGAATAATACTCTATTGTGTGTATATATGCCACATTTCTTTATCTATTCATTGGTTGGTGGGCACCTAGACTGATTTCCTAGCTTGGCTATTGTGAATAGTGCTGCTATAAACATGGGTGTGCTGGTGTCTGTATTGTATGTTGACTTACATATATGATATATGGCCAGAAGTGGAGTAGCAGGATCACATGGTAGCTCTGTTTTTAGTTTTTTGAGGTTCCTCTTCATCACCTTTTTTTTCAGTTCAAAATGTTTCACATACTTATTACTACACCATCCTTAAGGCAATCAAAGAATCCAATTTAAGACACCAACTGTCCAGGCAGCATGACAAGCCAGCTTGATGCCAAGATGATCACCAACCATGGAAGAACATAAATATGTGTGCCATCTCTACAATTCTTTACAGACCCAGCTTGGTTCTCCTCCAGTGTATCCTCTTAGAGTTGTACCTGATTTGTTACCAGTTTTCATACGAATCCATTGGGGATGGGATGATTTTGCTTTTGTTTCTTGGCCAGGAATCGCTTGATTTCTGAAGTCTTGTGAGAAGACATGGTAAGAAGCTGGGCCAAAAGCAAGCACCAAAATGGCAAACAAAAGCAGAAGAGGGGAAGAGGGGAGGAAGAACGAGTTTAGAAGGCACCCTTCATTTCCTTTTTTGGAGGTGATTTTAATTTACCAAATATTAACTTTTGTATGGGATCCGATCTATCTATCTTGCCCTGTTTTGTGAGTGATGTCATCAAAAGCTCCCTCTACCATTAGCTCATATAAATATTGTTAATATAATCGTGAGCTTAAGGTGAGAGTGAGCCTTGGAATTATACAGATACTGGATCAAATTCTAGCTCTGCCATTAACTACTAGTGATAGAAGTATATCTCCCATATGGTATTTCTCCCATATGGCGTATCATCTCCCATACCACAAACTTCTACAGCTTTGGCACTCTGTAATCAAAAGGTGGAATCTGGTCAAGATTGTGACTCACTTGTAGCCAACATAATGTAGCAGAAATGATGTAAGACTAACACTTAAAATGTGATGTGACTTCTACCTACCAGTTAATACACTTGCCTTTCAAACCTAAGAAGTTTGGGACCCTTAGGCTGTGAAGAGGCCCAAGGAACATGGAGAATCCATACATGCATGTTCTAATAGTTCCATGAGACATCACAACTTATTCTAGCATCAACTGCAAAGACGTGAGTGGACATGCCTCCAAATGATTCTAGTCTCTAGCTCCTGAATTACCTCTAGTCTTTGAGTATTCTTAGTTGAAGTTCATACCAATGAACACGTTGTGAATTCTGACCCACAGTTCTATAAACACAATAATTTGTTATGAAGCACTTGTAACTGGAAAATTTAATTGTGTAATACTTACCAACTTATTTAAATGGTCTAGTCTTCAGGCTTCTCGCCTACCAAATTGTCTTAAATAATAGCTACTTTATGAGTAATTGTGAAAAAATATATGAGATCATATATAAATAGTACTCAGAATGTGCCTAGCATATACTAAAAGTTGAAGCAATGTTAATCACAACAAAATTGGGTGGGGGTGGAGGGAAGGGGGGAGAAATGACCCAAACAATGTATGCACATGTGAATAAAGGAATAAAAAAATCACAACAAAATTAAAAAGGAAGTATTTCTTTATTATATTTAAGTCTTCAATACATGTGATATTTATTTTGGTTTAACATGTAAGCTTGTGTGGATTATTAATCAGCCAATTCCAAATTAATAGATTGTTTCCCAAATTACTGTTCTTAAAAGATATGTGAAGAAAAATTTCCTGTATAACTATGTAAAAACATGAAAGAAGAACATTTATACATTGTTACACAATCTTCATGCTATCTCTATGCATTCTATTATCTTCAACTATCATTATATGTATTTGCATTTTTCCTCATTTCTATGAGATGAAGCTGAGTCTCCATTCTTGAACAAGGGTTCTATTCCCAAACCCATCACCTAGTGCAATCATGAGCCCACGGCTCCCTGGCAAGCCAGGGATGTGATAATTCAAGCCAATTCTACTCACACTAAGCTATCTCAAATTATAGTTTCCACAAACTGAAATACCTCCAAAATTTTCCTTGATGTCGCATCCCCATGTCTGTCCAGATTTTTCTGGTTTGAGATTACCTCCAAGAGCTCTACCAGAGAAAGACTGGCTCATGTTGCCAGCAAATTGGGATGCTGGGGTAGCTCTGCTTTACCTCCAAAGCTATGGGCAAAGTACTGTTCCAAGAAGTTTTGGGGCTAATCCAAAGAGAATCCCAACTTAGAGGAGTGGATGTAGATAAGGACAGAGTATGGTCGCAGAATTCTCAGTATAGGCTAGGGATTATTTTGGCCCAAGAATTTGCATTTTCATATAAAGGATAATAAGTAACCAAATGTGAGCCTACTTGTGGCAGCATCATCATGAGGAAAGCAAAGTTCCCTGCTGATGTGAGCAAGAGGAATTTGTAAAGATTCACTCTAGTGTCCCATTGTCAATGAGACACTAGACAGCTTCCTACCCTGTTTCTCCTATGACTGCTTCTCTTCTCATTCCCAACTGGGTTTCTTATTCCCTATCATTGATTAGGAGGGGAGAATAAAAATATAGGCTTTTGGGGAAGAGGTAAAGAAGATAGTGAGTTAAAGAATAACCCCAAATCCAGAAGAGATGTGGAATTAAAGTCCCTCTGGGAGGTTGCAGTAGTTATTATGTTTACAACAGATGAGCTCTGTCCTCTTTTCAAAACCCAAGAAGTTGATGTCCTCACAGTTGGTCATACACGACAGTCTTGAGTAATGATACATACTCCTTCCTGAGATGATGAGAGAGAGAGGGGATACAACTGTAATGATTTTATTTCCTCCTACCATATTTCTGGGAATAACCTGTCTTCAGATTCTTACTCTCCTTTTTCTAAGCCCAAAAGCAGTACAATGCTGAGTCCACTAATTGCTGACCAAGACAATGAATTTTATTCCCAAACTGACCAGCCTTTCCTTCAGCCAGTATTGTCTTAGGGAAAAGTACATCTTTGCCATCCTTTCTACAAGACCCTCATCCTCACCCACCCCATTCACCCACGATTCTGAGGGCAAAAGAACACCACTGCTTCCAAGGGAAGGAAGTGGTTGTTTCCCCATTGCTCTCTACCCCATGGTCATGTTACCTTTTTTTGTGAGTATGTAAAAATTCTCTGTAGCACAGGACTGTTTATGCTGGAGTTTGCAGGAATTCATGACTTCATAGCATAGCCCAAGATGATATTTTCTACACTTATAACATATTATTTGAGTGTCTGCCAGATAAAGAAAGAGGTTTTTAGAGGGCCTGTACTAGAGAAAGTTTTCTTTCTCTAGAAAGAAGCCTAAGGGCTTCTCTGCAGAAGTTTATTATTGCCTGATGGTTCCTAACTTTCCTGTGTTAGGATTACTTTGATAGTTTTGTGAGAAGTAACCTGTACAAGCACAATCCAAATGTTGTATATCATTTCGGGAGGTCCTGTGGACCCTCAAGTAATAAGTCCCTATCTAGACTGATGATTTTGTCCAGTATGGGTAAAAGGAAGCAAAGGGGGATTTTAGCCTCCTTGCTCCAAGAAATGGACTAATGGGAAAACACTGAATTTTGAGGCTCCTATATTAAGAATGGATTATAGTCCTCTTTATGGATAGAGGGGAGGTTTCTTCCTCAAAAAGCAGGATTTTACTCCTAAAAAAGGTAGGTTTGCTTGCTTTCCAAGCCGTTTGTGGTCATACCTTTTCGAGGGCTCTGAAGCTCACCTGTGAAGAGAAAAAAAACTCTCTCATCATAATCTCACAGACATTTGCCTTAGCCCCACAGCCAATTTTGGAAAGATCCCCTTCCCTGGTATCTGTCCATCTCTTAAGCAACCACTAGCTCTCTCACCATCTCTAAGACTTACCTCCATATGCACAGAGCAGAAATACTGTGCCCAGAAGAATCAAAACAAGCATCTTGAAATTTTGTCATGTGCAGCTTTCTGTGGGAGGTACAGATTGTTCTCCTCCTGTGATCTGTCCTTTAGCTAATTCATCTAAGTCATATAATTATAAAACTTCAAGGACAGACTGTGTGTCCATGTTCCCAGGATCAAATCACCATATCTGATTCTCTCACAATATTCCAAACAGTGTGCTCAGTCTGATTTTACACAAGTCCTCAAATGAAAGCAAGATTGTGATATTCCTGATTCACCAAACCTTCTTCTACCTCTAGTGTTGCAGGTCTTGATAAATCTGAGAGCTATTCTTTATGAGCCCCTTTACCCCATCCTTAAAGAATAACCTAACCGTAAATTTCATCCATTCTATTTACTAACTTCTTACCTGAGTTTATTTTTCTCCATCTCCACTGACAGTACCATAATCTAACCCATCATCATCTCTTGTCTGGGCCATGCAATAGCTTTATTTTTGGCCTCCTTGTTTCAACTCTTACCCCTTTGCAATGATTCCTCCATGAAGCAGTGAGAGAACCCTTTATAAGTCATAGATGCCACATCCCCACTCAAAACCTTCTAATGACTTGTCATTACATGTAGAAGAATATTCAAAGCTCTTAGAGCCTACAAAGCCTTCTACCATCTGAACAATGGCAACCTCTTCAATGTTCTCGCATGCCACATTCCCCTTGCTCACTCAGGTCTCTGCTCAGACGTCAGCCCCTCAGACCAAACAGCATTTCCTCATCAATCTCTAGAGAATAGAAACCTCTGGTCTCCACACTTTTTCTCATCTATGTTTTTGTAGAAATCTCCCTACCTGACTGTACATATCTATTTGTTCACATTCTAACTTCTTCACTAGAACAAAGCACGGGCTTTATTTTATTTACCAGGGCATACCCAGAATCTGGAAACTTTGAACATAGGAAACATCCAATAAATACTTTGGGGAGACTCAATGCATGAGTCTTGCCACATTCATTCATGCATATTTCTAGTCCATTCTCCACAGAGCAAGCAGGTTTATCAGATTGAATTTTTTGAACTATAATTAAGATGAGAAAGTGAAATCCTTTCTTCATTCCATCTAGGATCCCAAGACAGTAAGTAATAAGTATTTTTACATTTAAAAGTGAAATATGTTACCTATTCAGGTTTACAAACAAATTAGATGAAAACTAGTTTTAATATTCTGAGCCCTTGGGCCATATAGATAGTATAAATAAACAGTGAAATGTCATAAAATAAAAAAATAAAAAAGGGAGTTTTTATAGTCTAAGGTGGGAGAATGCCCTTCTCTATAGGGCTTAAAATATAGACCCATGAAAAAGATTTATATGTTTAGCTATAACTTTAAAAAGTGTCTATCTGGGAGTGGGGGATAGCCAACCACTAATCCCTAAGTCCAGAAAACAAATAGACAGCAAGTACAAAAATATTTGCAATTCATATTATTAGGGCTAATCTCCCTAATAAGCAAAGAAATTCCAGAAATCGATTTTTTAAAAACGAAGAATTCAAAGGGCATGAAGAAAGTCAGTAATAATATTGTTCATAGAAAAAGAAGGAGCTCAAAAGATTTTTCTTTAAAGTTCAGTAAATTTACAAGTTGGATTTGAACATTCTAAGTCAAAATTCCTCAGGTACTTATGTGCTGCTTCAATGTTCAGAAAAGTTTCTTATGATTTTTAGTTAATATTTGCTCCTATTTTTCCCTTTTTTTTCAGGATCTCCTATTATCTGTATATTGAATCTTTTTTTATTTTAAAAAAGATCACTTTTTAAAGCATCAAATCTCATTATTTATTTTAGATTTTAATTTGTCTTCTTTTTTCACTTTATATTTCTCATAAGTCATTTTTTTTTACTCTTGTGCTCCTTGTATTTTTGTTGGAAGGGACAGCCTACCATGGGTACTAAGCATCACTGAATACTCTTTTTGGGTATGCCAAGAGTACAAGGCTCTGACCACTCCGTACCCAGGTCATCTCTCAGGGTTGGGTTTGCATGGAGAAACCTTGAAGAGTACAGTAATGTCTCCCCCAGGACAGAGAGCTGGCTTGCTCCCACTTAATACACAGTGACAGATTTTTCAAGCTCAGTGTTCTTCAGCTTTGACCTAGACCTACCTCACTCCACAGGACCAGGAATCTTGAAAAGTTGGTGTAGACCAACCAGGTGCTCTGCCTTCTGCTTTCTCTGTGAATAATGAAGTTATTTTTTTCTGATTCAGAAGGATTTTTCCTTCTTTTCTCCAGCATCCAATAACAGGTTGGCTTGCTAGTTTGAAGTAGGATAAAATCCCAGATCCCATTAGAAAGACTAAAATTAAAAAAGATTGACCATGCCAGGTGCCAGTCTCTCATGCCTCTAATCCAAGCTGTTTAGGAAGCTGAGATAAGGAGGATCATGATTCCAAACCAGCATTGGCAAAAAAGTTTGCGAGGCCACATCTCAATGGAAAAAAGGTGGGCATGGTGGCACACACCTGTCATCCTAGAAACAGTAGGAAGCTTACAATAGGAAGATCACAGTCCAGGCCAGCCTAGACAAAAGCAAGACCCTATCTCCAAAACCACCAGAGCAAGAAAAGGGTTGGAGGTGGCTCAAACACGAAGTCCTGAGTTCAAACCCTGTATCACAGAGGGGAAAAAAAGGCTGATCATACCTTTTGGTGAGGATGTGAGGGGACTGAAATCCTCACACACTTTCATGGGAATTGAAAATGGTGCAATTATTTTGGAGAATGGTTCAGTATTTTCTTAAAAATTGAAAGATATTTACCAATTGATCCAGCTATTATTCCAAACCTGGATAATTCATCAAGAGAAAAGAAAATATATGTTCATGACATAGAAGACCACAAAAGACTGAAGAAATTATATAGATTAAAGGAAGGTAAAAAGATATGACAACTAAATGCAATGTCTGACCATAGACTGGTTTCTATATTCAAGGGGAAAACATTATACAGGATATTAAGTCAAATGACAAATATGAGTGACAGACCAGATGGAAGTATTGTATTGATGTTAAATTTTTTAGTTTATAATTGTGCTGTGGTTGTGTGAAAGAATATTTCTATATTCTTTCAAAATATTTTAAGTGGTCATGATCTAGCTTGCCCTCAATAATTAAGAAAGTGCAAGGTGAGGGGTGTGTGTGTGTGTGTGTGTGTGTGTGTGTGTGTGTGAGAGAGAGAGAGAGAGAGAGAGAGAGAGAGAGAGAGAGAGAGAGAGAGATCAAATAAATGATAAATGATAGGGATCAAATGTTGACAACAGGCAAATGTGGGTTAAAAATAAATTATATTCTTTGTATTATTTTTATTTTTGTAACTTTTTCTGTAGGTTTGAAATAATTTCCAAATAAAAATGAATTTAGAAAAGTTCCAATGGTAGCAAATGTTTTAAGTAAGTTAATTTCTGGATGTCCACAACATTTTCAATTCAACTTATCTCAGAAAATAAAACACTATGATCCATTGATTTGACCCTAATGTCATCAAGAGAGAAAGGACTTCTGTGATCACAGATTTCTCCTTTCAAATAATTTGACAAAGAACTTTCATATTTCAATCCTGGTAAAGCACATTCTAAAGCCTGTAGAAGTTTGGAAGGATGTTGGTCTTTTCCTTCTTCTTGCATATCAGCAGTTAAGCCATTCTAGCTTTGTTTTTTTCAGTTGCACTTTCACAAAAATTTCCTAAAACAGTGATTGGTTACAATGAGAGGAGATTTTTTTTTCACTAAAGTAGCAAAAGCAGCTGGTTACCAAGCACTATAGGAGACTCAGCTGGGAAGAAAGAAAAGAAGCTTTGATTTTCAGTCAAATTTTTTGTAATAAAAAAACTCTTTATTTCCACTCTGTTACCATTGCCAAAACGTTGCTAGCTTTTAGTTTGCTTCAGAGACATAATGAAAGAGTTCTTTGATGACTTCAGCAAGCACAGTGCAAGTAAACCAAAAGCATAAAAGGGAACCAGCTTTGTTGAAAGATTCCTTTCATTTTATCCAATTGTGAGATAATGGAGGAGAATGACAAAAGTGCCAGTTACTCAATGACTACTTCAAAATTTTGAAATAAATATGAACTCTGTCATTTGATGAAGAAAATGCAGTATTGGTTGTTCCAGGTCTACAATCCTCAAAGCAGTTTTAATGCATTTACTAAAGTTTCCCAAGAACACGAAGCTTCTGTCATTTAACTAGCTGATAAGCAGGAGCCAAAGAAAAGAGTTTAATAAAATGGCAACACTATATTTAGGAATGTACCAACTTTTTAAAATTGAGCTGAAAAAATTCCACATTCTAAGATGCAGGCAGAAGTGCTACTCTTCTTCATTTTGTTTCTTCACGTTTCATTTAACAAAAATGTTTTCCACACAAATAAAACCAGGGTGACCTCTGTCCTAGCAAGTTTGAAGATGCAAATGAAACCATTTAAATCCAGATATTTTTCACTCATTTGTATTGGTAGCAAGCCTTAGGAACTGCTTATACTCTTGTAGTTTGTTGCCAATGTTCTCTAGGGAAAAATTGTTTTTACCAGTTAGAAATTAAAGAAAAAGAAAAATAGAAAGTTTTCTATCAAAGTTAATGAACCCTGTGTATTAGTCTGTTTTCAGGTACTATAATGAAATGCCTAATGCTGAGAATTTTATAAAGATAAGTTTATTTAATCACAGTTGTGGAGGTTCAAAGTCTAAACAGCATGGTGCTGACACTGGCAAGAGCTACTTTGTATCAGATTATAGCAAATAGCATCATGATGGGAAGCCATGCAAGAGTGACCCCATGGAAAGACAGGAAGCCTAAAAGGGCAGGGTCTATTGTATAACAGCTTTCTCAAGAACTAACTAAGGGTCCCCATGAGAGCTACCTCTCTGTGGTGAATGAAACCTGGAATTTAAACTCAGGATTTTACACTTGCTAGCAGATGCTCTATCTCATGAGCCATACCTCTAACCCTTTTTGCTCTGATTATTTTGTTCTTGGTTTTTGCCCAGGCTGGACTAGACCACAATCCTATTTTAGAGACTTTACCACTGTGATGTGAGAGCTTCGAGAGAACCTATGTGGAAGCAGCTGGCCTCATGTGTGGCATATCGTAAGCACTCAAAAAATGGTGTTGTTCTCTTTTCCTTCATTGCTCTCCCCACTAGCAATTGGACATGGAGAGAGTGGGTATACACTGGCATTTTTCTCTGAGCCCCACAGAAGGCACTTCTCTACCAGATTTTTTTATAGGGTCCACTCATGCTCTGTACATTCAATGCTACCAGTGGGAGCTCAAGAAGGTAGACTGAATTCTGATTCTATGCTAAAGTCTATTCTTCCAAACAAAGGGCAGTATTCAGCAGCACAAATTACAAGGACGGCTCATCTGTGGTATCATCAAGATTTCAGCCATCTACATCAGAGGCCAAGAGACACCGTGAGCATAAGGACACAATGTTCTGCTCTGTTCTCCCTGGAGCACTGCAAACAGCATCTATTCTGAGTAGAGGGCCTTCCAGGAATAGGGGTACATTAATTTGGGAGATGTGCCCTCAGTGACATCATGGATATGCTAGGTACTTTACAATAAAGGAACTTGGTACTCATCTTTATGTTGTGTGTCATGAACTGCAGAATGCTAAGATTGTAAAGAACCATAAAACAGTCAAAACCTGATGTCACAGATAAATGACCTGCAAAAGACACAATGTGTTACGCTGTAAACAACCATAGGTCTCCAGACACTCAGGAAAATGCTCTTTCTATTCTATCACTCTACCTTTATTCATAGGTCCCATTCTCTTCTGCTTTATGATAAATTAAGAAATAAATTAGTTCTGGGGGAGAAAATTTGATGCATGAAGTACTGTGGGAGGATGAGGTGTGGGTCAAGGGACCCCAAAGTTTGGGTAGAGTTGCAAAATTTCACAATCTTAACTGAAAGTAAATTGGCAGACTGAAGATCAAAACTCAATGGTTCTTTCAGAAAGTACCTGTCAAAGAGACCCTTGAAGGAAGAACAGACATTGTGAAAACCCAATGAAGGTTAAGTGAAATGTCTGCTACCTTACTGATTTCAGTTACCCTTTGGATGAAGCAGAGAAAACAAAGGTTAGTTCCAAGCTCCAAAGGCTTGGCCTTCTTGATAAACCTGGAAATGCTCTGAAAGATGCCTTCCAGTTTCTAATGTCCTCTCCTAAAATCTGGCAGAATAGAAAACAAGATTCAAAGACCAAATCTTACTTTCCATTCCATAAGCTTTGGAAACCAATTCCCTAATGTCTAAGGCTTTAAAACTCTAGCTCTCTTCTTAGGCAAAGATGACCTTCATGCTCTGATGAGTCATCTAAAAGAAACATTGCAAACTTTATGGCACTTGACCTAAAACATTATTTCACCTAATCTTAGTTGGATTGTCTGAAAATAATCAGATTCGCTATCTTTCTATGAATGCATTTCTACTACAGCTAAAGAGCACATTGTTAAATCAGTTCAGCATAGAATATTTCTAGTATTTCTAGCCAAGGCACCATCATCTGACTGCTAAGTTTAGGAGACAGAATGCTGGGATTGGCCATATTTTCCAGTGCTTTACCCAGGGGGAACCTTAACTGAGTTAACTCATAGAGACAACCATCTACATCATGAGCACGACTAGCCAGACTCAAGCTATAAATTTACTAAAAATCAAGTTGTGGTCAATTCTCAGGGGGAATTTCACAACCCCACAAAGTAAACAGACTTGAAGGACAGATTTCTGGTAAGGTAAAAGGACTGTAGGCTAAGAACCAGAAAGTATAGGTTAAAGGCCCAACTTGGTCACAGACTATGTAGTTTTTTGTTTCATTTTATTTTATTTTTGTCTCTTTCACTGTCCTGTTTCTCTCTCATAAAGTGAGAGACCAGCTGAGACTGTCTGCCTTATTCATTTCTCCGCTGTCACACATGGAACTGTCCCTGGCTTATAAAACCTAGCAGTAACTATTTGTTGAATATACAAATAAATTACAGAGAGGCATAGAATTTTGGTGGTAAAAAATGTGGACTCTAGAATTAGATAGTCTTTCTATGAGTATTGGCATTCTCAGTCACTTAATATGTAACTGGATAATATTCTGGACCCTACTAAATCTCTGTGAAGTTAGGATAAGAATAATTAGCTGGGCATCGGTGGCTCACATCTATAATCCTAGCTACTCAGGAGGCAGAGATCAGGAAGATCATGGTTTGAAGCCAGTCCAGGCAAACAGTTCACGAGACCCTATCTTGAAAAAATACATCACAAAAAGGGGTTGGTGGAGTGATTGAAGGTGTAGGCTCTGAGTTCAAGTCCCAGTACGGCAATAAAGAGAAGAATATTGTAACTATATTAATAACAACAATACATTCATTCCACCACAGCCACAGATCCCATCTTCATAGTCACTAATATCAGATTGAAAATATCACAAAAAGTAGTTGATTCTATACTGCTTAGTACAGACATGTTTCTTGTCATTATTCCCTAAGCAACACAGTATAACTATTTAATAGCATTTCTATTATATTAGGTACTATAAATAATCTAGAGATGATTTAAAGTATACAGGAAGATGTGCATTGGTTATATGCAAACATTATACCCTTTTATATATTGTTATGTATGGATTTTGGTATCTGTGGTAATTCCTATAGCCTGTGGATACTTAGGGTCAACTGTAATTACTGTAATGAAGATTATATTTAAAACAGAAGTTATCTCAATAAAAATTATTGTTATTGTCTGCTTTGGGGGGAACAGCTAATGAACTTGAACTCCAAGAAGAAACCTGTGTGACTGGCTCCTCTGAGGCATGAATGATTGCTCGCCTATGGCAAGGGAGAAACCTTCTTCCTTGGAGCCTAAAGACCTGTGCTTACAGCCCATGGTTTCTTTTCTCCTGTACAAGAGACTTCTGGGTCAGAATGAACAAACACTTCTTGCTGCTCTTCTCCCTCTTCTGCCTCATTGTGGGTGAGTCCCAAACCTGAAGAGTGAGCTCCAGAGACGGGATCTAGGGAGTCCCAGGGAATCTCACATGCACAACTACAGCCATGCAGGGCTGAGATGTGATCACATAGTGACAGAGGAGAGAAGAGCCAGTCTCCAGAATGCTCCCTCTGCTTTCCCTGCCAGCTTCTCTGTTCTTTTCAATCTTCTACCATTCCCCTCCAGATGTGCACACCTGCCCCTTTGTCCTGTTCCTCTCCTCTGTCCCTAGCATGCCTTAGCAAGATTTCCCTATGACATCCTTTCCGTCCATAAATCTACATCCTGTCCATTCATAAATTTTTCCCGAGAGAGCTACTCCACAATGAATAATTTTGTTGTTTGTTTTTCCTAGGCTATGGTTCTGATACCCATTTTAGGAACTTTATATTGCAACAAGTGTATATAGGAAAGAAAATTATGGATTTTTTAAAAAGAATAGTTCAGTCATTGTCTTAAATTCTCCATACCTTTAGTTCCAATTTGACAAAGGGAGACAAAATCTGCTTGCAAGGATTTTATAAGGATTAAATCAGATACAACTTGAGAGAACAGGGCCCAAATAAGATGTTTAATAAGTGTTGATTTCCTTTCTCACTTTATTACCAGGGAAAAATTTTTTTAATTGAACCTGTATTTCAATAATTTACCCTCATAGAGCCTCACAAAGATGTCACTAACTGCTATAATGCATGAGGTCTTTTCTTAGATTCCATTTGAAACTCAAAATACAATAAATCAACCATCAATATCTAAGCAACAATATACAACACAAAATGATGCCAAATATCAGAACCTCTGGCATAATAGCACTAGATCAAATTAAATGTTTTAAAACACTCACCCTCATTAGCATAATAGTGTCTTTCTACAATCCCGTCCAACAGGCCAGGCCAGTGGTAAGACCACTATTTTCAAGCTAGGAAAATCAACTACATGGAGGCTAAATTTTTACTCCATTATCCAGATTAAAAAGGCTGAAGTTGGGACCAGAATCCTTTTCTTCATACAATGGCATTTTCTTTCCTTCTCTGTATGATGAGGAGTTGCTAAGGGATAGAAATGTTCACTACCTAAATACTCTACCCTACCTCTTCATCCAGCCAGCCACTCATTCCCTGCCTGCCCCACTCCCCTCAGGTATGATATTTCCAGCTCCATCCCAAGTTCTTGGCCTTAAACCAAGCTCTGTGGTCTCTCCAGCAGTAACATCACTGATGTGCATAACATGCCACCTTCGTACACAGGCAGACCACTGTAGAAGAGGCTTTGGTGTGTGCTTTGCCGAGAAACATGAGAAATGCATGAGCCTAAATATCTACCAAAGTAAGTGAGAGGGTCAGGGGAGGTGCTGTGAAAACATTGGAATTTTTAGGAGAGTGCTTTGGAGTTTTACTGAGGCTAAACCAGAGGAAAAACCAAAGTACAGAATGAGCACCAGTAGCACAGGTTCCTATACATGCCAACCAAAAACTATTGGAGAAAGTGGATACTGGATTATTATTCCCAATAATAATAAAATTTTTATTGGGAAGATATCAAAGCACCCTTTGCTAATCTTCAGGCAGGAAAGGGAATGAAGCAGGCACACAAAGAGTTGAGTTGTCAGGGACCTCAGGCAAACAACCAAATCCTTCAGTTGGCCAGCAATTTCCACATTGGTGCTCTTAGAAATTATGCACCGGGAAGCCATCACTATGCATGTATGACTGTGCCAGTTCTGACCTGCCTTGGAGATCACTAGCCTTTTTCTGTGGTTCTTTCCCATTGCAGATCATTCTCTTCAGTTATCATATATGGTGTGCCAGAAATTCTGCAACAACTTGAGATATAACTTCAACAATCGGACTTATGTTCATAAATGCTGCAACTACAACTATTGTAACTTCAGAATCTAAGATAGTTATTCCAGGTTGGATGTGGTGGTGTATGCCTGTAATCAGGAGGTGGAGGTAGGAAGATTGTGGTCCGGCACCAGTCTAGTCAAAATTGCAGGATCCTACCTGAAAAATAAATTAAAGCTAAAAGGGTTGGGAGCATGGCTCAAGTGGTAGAGTGCTTTCCCAGTAAGCACGATGCCCTGAGTTCAACCCACAGTACTGCCAAAAAAAGAGAGATTTTTCCTCCTAATACCTCAGTTAAGTTTGACCAGAAATTCTTCAGCTGAAAATTCACCAATATTTTGGGTTAAACATGTATCACTACAATGATTAAGCAGAAATAGCAACAAAATGGATGGTGGACACTGAAGATTTTCCTCTAGGTACACAAACTTGTTTCCACCAGTAGATAGTGCCTACTTCTAATTCAGTCATTCTGACTTTCTTGGCATTTACAGATTATATTCTCACACATGTTGGTGAGACAACGTAAGAAAGGGTTTCCCAGCCTCTGTGGTATTCATAGCTCAAATGCAACCACAAGTGTTCCTGTCAAGGTGCATGTTCGTAGTGCATCAGCACTACCATTCTTACCCTTCTTTTCCTAACCTTCGTCTATTCCTTTCCTCCTTTGCCATCCTTCTCCACTATCACCTTTCCACCTCCCTAACGTTATATGAACTCTCCTTCTTATAGCAGGGTGTCCTTCAAAGTTTTGTTCAATGTGTTCCAGGCCCCTGAGTTATATTACCCAGGGCAAGGCTGTCTTTCAGGGCCTCTGAGCTATAGTGCAAAATAGGGCACACTCAGTGAAGACTTCATCTTCCCTGGACAGCTTTCTTGAGCCTTAGCCAAAGAAATAGAGCTCACAATGGATCTGAACCCTCTGTACCTTGCTGCCTGTTTGTAAATAATAAACTCACTTCACATAACTTGTTACATGTTAGTGTGCTCTGTTTCACTGACCCAAATGGATAACCAGTGCATGATGGATGTGAACAGTAGCCAGAATGCAATGAGAAGTATATGGACTCCTGACTCTTGTGGTTGGCATGGTGGTGATCCTTGCTATTCTTCACAAGTGAGAGTCCTGGCTTGGGAGTCTCTGTATGTTATAACCCTCTTCATGTAATGTCTAGTGGGAATTTGATGTAGCCTTTCCCATAGTTCTCCACATCAGAAACCAGAAGTATGATATCGATTTCTGAAGTCTTTTCCACAAGGCTTTTTTGAACATTTCTCTTGTCAAATTTTTTTTCTAGTCATCTCAAGTCTAAGCTTTTGTATATACCTTTTATTTTCCAAATCTGTGTTTAATGCAACCAAAACTCTAGGCTAAATCATGTAATTTAATATTAGTTTGATTGAAGCCTTATTGCTTTTACTATTACAAAGAGTATATTTTCTTAGACCATCTGAAAGAAAGTTGATGACATATACTTCATAAGCCCTGAATACTTTAGTGTGTTTCCTTTAAAACATGGACATTTTCTCATCACAATCACAGAATTAGTATCGATACATGGATGTCCTGTAATCCACAGACCCCAACTAAGTTTTGTCAATTCCCCAATAACATTTTATAGTGAAATAATTCAACCCAGAGCCAGGCACAAGTGGCTTATCCTGTATTCCTAGCTACTTGGAAGGCTGAGGTCAGAAGGATCATGGTTTGATTACAAGACTCCATCTCAACCAATAGCTGGACATGGTGGCATGCACCTGTCATTTCAGCGCCTATGGAAAGCCTAAAATAGGAAGATCACAGTCCAGGTCAGCCTGGGCAAAAAGCAGGACCCTATCTTCAAAATAATCAGAGCAAAAAAGGCTAAAGACATGGCTTATGCTGTAGAAAGCTTGCCTAGCAAGTGCAAAGCCCTGAGTTCAACCCCAATACCACCCCCAAAAAAATTCAATACAGAATCACCATATGGAATTTGGTGATTCCAAATTCCTTTAACTCAGCCCAATCTAACATGGGATAGTCCCATATTGCTTCGTTTTCTTGGTCTTCATATTCTAATAATTATAAGCTAGTATTTTGTGACTCTCTCTTAACTTGAGGCTGTGTTTTATGTTCAGGTTCTGCATCTGTGACAGGAATATCACAGAAATGATCCTATGCTTTTCTCAATGCATTCTATGAAAAGTCATATGATTGTATTTCATCACTAGTGATGTTAATTGCTGGCAATCAAAATGATTTCTCCCTTGTGAAGTTAGCATTTTTCCTGTGGAATTAATAACTATTTTGTGGTGAGCTTATTTAAGATTATGCGTGTTAAGAAAATGTGGTACTTGTACACAAATGGAATTTTACTCAGCCATGAAGAAGAATGAAATCTTATCATTTGCAAGTAAATGGATGGAACTGGAGAACATCATTCTACACGAGGTTAGCCAGGTTCAAAAGACCAAAAATCATATGTTCTCCCTCATATGTGGTCTTTAGATCTAGGGAAAATGCAGCAATGTGGTTGGACTTGGATCACATGACAAGGGGAGAGCACATACAGGAGATACAGGACTAGGTAGAAAACCCAAAACATGAAAGTGTTTGATGTCCCCACTCCAGAGGAAATAATGCAGAAACCTTAAAGCGACAGACACTAACATGAGAAGGGGATCAGGAATCAGTGTAAAGATCAAGTAGAGATGAATCAACCTGGGTTGTAACACATTTGTATATGGAATTAATGCTAGGAATCTCTCTGTATAGCTATCCTTGTCTCAACTAGCAAAAATGCTTTGTCTTCCTTATTATGCTTGTGTGTTTTCTTCAACAAAATTAGAGATAAGGGCAGAATAGGTTCTGCCTGGAAGTGAGGGAGGGAGGGGGGCAGAAAGTGGAGGAAGGGGGGTGAGGGGATAAATGACCCAAACAATGTATTACATGTGAAATAAATGAATAATTAAAAAAATAAAAATATTGAAGTGAACCCCCCCCAAAAAACAAAGGTTATGGATGTTAGTCAGCTTTCCAATGCTGTGACAAAATACCTGAAATAATAAACTTAAAAATAGGGAAGGATTACTCAGCTCATGTCTTCAGAGGTTTCAGTCTATGGTCACTTGATCTGTTGCTTTGGGCTTTAGCAGCCCAGTACATCATGGCAGGAACATATGGTAAGGGAGGACTGCTCACTGAGTGGTGGCTGTGAAGCAAAGAGAGAGAAAGGAAGTGACCAGGGTCCCAATACCCCCTTCCTATTATTACAGGCCACACCTCCTAAAGGTTCAACTCTCTCCCGGTAGCACCAGGCTGATGACTAAATCTTTAACACATGGGCTTGGGGGACATTCAAGATCCAAACTATAGCACATCATGAGTATTCCATTACCTTTCTACTTTTATCAACTAACTTTAGCATGCATTAGTGTTTCTAAACTAAATTAGCTGAATTCTTATCATGATAATTACCAGACGGTGATTTTTCCAATTCCAATATTCCTTCTGTTTTTAGGAGTTGGCATTCTACTGTAAAGAAATGCTTTCTCTTCTCCTAATTTTGTTTTTTTTTGATTTGGTTTGGTTTTTTGGTGGAAGCCCTGGTTTGAACTCAGGGCTTCACATTTGCAAAGCAGTCACCCTACCACTTTAGCCATACCTCCAGTCTCTCATTGTTTTTTTTGATTATATAAATTCATAATTACTATTTTGTTCGATGGATTATATTTGTTACTATCACATTTATTTTGTTGTTCCAATTTGACCAGTGAGAATTATTTCAAACTTGAGTTTGTGTACTTTCAGCATTTCCCAACATGTTTTGAACATATTCTTATTTTGGCCACAGCCAAATATTCCAGGTTCATTTTACAATATCTTTTTAGTTCTTTTTGGTGAGAAAGGATATTTATAAACAAAAATATAAGTGCTAGGTGTTCTCATTGCTATTGGAGTGTCATAGCTCTGGATCTGTCAATGGCCAAATCTAGAAGCCACTCACAAGTATGTACATGCACACACATGTACAGTCTCACCCAGACTATGTTCTTCACATAGGCTCGCCTCCCAATACTTGGACTCTAACAATCACAGTGGAACATGCGACATATTCCACTTCTCAATTCACTCAGACTCTGATGACCCTTTGGAGTTGGTCCACTTTCACCACTACTGTACTCTGCACAAGTGCCCTTTTTAGGTTACTTGGGCTCTGTCAATCTGCTCCAAAGTATATGGTGCTATACTGACTCCACTTAGGCTTTCAGTAACCTATACTGAGTATTGGGACTGAGCCTCTACCCAGAGAGCCAGCATTGCTCAGTTCATATGGTTTTTAGACTGAATTCCTAAGGAAATAAGAAGGAAGATGAACTTTTTTACTTTTATTTTTGTTTATTTCTCATAGTTTCTATTATTTTTCTGGTTTCATTCAATTCATTTTGAAATGTCACATTAAATTTTTATGTCTTTTGGAACTATTTTTCTGATATTCTTTCATTTTCTATAAGTCTGGTATTCAGTTAGCTTTCCTAACAACATTTTCATATGAGGTTCATATGAAGACATTTTATTTAATATATGTTTAAATTAAATGACTTTTCTAATACTTCAGGACATTTCTGTGTTGGATACAGGTAAGGCAAAAGAACTTCCTTAGCTTCCTCTTTGGGGCTTCAAAGGGAAATAGAAATAAAATGCCATCTCTGTTGCAGCACCATTTATAGTGACTTCTAAGATTTACTACCCCTTGTTCCCCCCAATTTCTACATTTTATCTTACAACTTTTGTTTTTGTATGCTGCTGAACTTTGTTTATATTAATAAGTCTTTTCTTCCACAGAATGGAGTTCTATTTTTGTGAGTGGAAATTTAATGTCATATTTCTATGCTTCTGAAACCTTTGAGGGCTTAGGCTTACCCTAGTGTACCTTGATTTTGTCTAAGGAAATATCCTTTTGGAATCCTAGTTGATCTGTATTTTTATAAAAGGATATGTAGAGGTTAATAAACTATGCTGCCTCCAACATGTCTCAAGTGTAAAGTTCACAGTTCTGCCTGAATACTTCTAA